TTTAATTTTTCATTTGCCAGTCTTCAAAGAAGAATACCCATAGAATAAAAATATAGAGAAATAGAATAGAAGAAGGGCAGGATAGTATTACAGTGCTTAAGTGTATGCGCAAGCACAGGTACACTCTCTATCCCCTTACATAAATTAACATAATTGAGATCTCGCAAAGATTACATTTTGTACTGAATCATTCCAGGCTATGAATACTAAAGATCTAACCAAAAACTACAAACGGCCAGAAAAAAAAAAAAAAATATTGTGAACGCAACAACACAAATAAGAACTAAAATCGACACGACCGAGATCCGCAAAACGGTGAGACAGACCTCTCTTTACGAGAAAAAACACGAGCCCAGAACCTCATAATAAACAGTTTCATTTGTACGACCACCAAATCAACAATGATATAATATGATTTATGTCACAAACTATACACGATATAAAAAAGTTTTGAACAAGACATCTTTGGTTTATTATTTCACACAATAGCTGTTCTTTCACTTTCTCTTCCATCTCTTAATATTTTGATGCAAAATAGATTTTAACATTTTTAATACTTCAACTCCATTTTACAACAAATTATTGATTTGGTGATCAAACATTGATCAAAATTTCCTTCAACGTCATTCAAAACTATAAGTATCCTTTAGAACAGTGATTCCCAAAGTGGTCTATATCGACCACTAGGTGTCTATGTCAACCTGCAAGGGGTCTACGTCAGCGAAAAAAAAGGGGGTCCATGAAATGAAAATGGGGGTCCACGATAGTGGATCTCAACACATACACTGATAGTACCTATTTACTTACATCATACTATCTTATAATATCAAAACATATACATTATTTATAAAAGTACCTATGAAGTAAAAAATTTATTATATATGTTTATGAAATTGTGTAAGTTGTAGGATGTTGGTATTCACTTTGTGGTCGCAATACATTTTGAACTTGTAAAAACCTGAGAGTCGCAGTCTCAGAGCTTCGCTACCTTGCACTGACTTGTTTAATTCGTCACTCTATATATACGAATGTGGGATTTGTCCCACATTTATTCTTTTCCTGAATCTTGAAAAGGAAAGTGCTAAAAAAAATATTTAAAAAAATATAAACAGATAGTATATCACACAAATTATAGTGAGTCAGTGTTATTTTGTTTGAGAGTGCTGGAGAAAAGTAAGTACATTATTTTTTATTAAATTTTAGTTTTGTACTCGTAGTTAGCAAAGATAGATAAATTACGCCAATCATGACTTTAGTTATTAGTAGTTTAATATTCAATCATGCAAAATTACACGAGTACTCCTCAATAGTTTCTTTTTGAAAGTTTTAGCAATCGGTATTATAATTACAGTGCAATCTCCGTAATTTGAGCTAATTGTTGCAAGAAGATGTTCTAATTATGGAATGTTTTCGGAAAAATCAAAAAATATTTTTAATATACAGCTGCTGGATTTTCTGTCTTATTTAAATAATTTAATTTTGTCCACAGATGACTGATGCCATGTCCGAATCTAAAAAGAAATGTAGACAGTACAGTGTCGATTATTTGAAATTTGGCTTCATTCTATCATTGCCGGACAAACAATTGCCTATGTGCCTTTTATGCAAGAAAGTTTTTGGCAATGACGCTATGAAACCATCAAAACTGAAAGATCATCTGTAAAGATGCCACCCTGATACAACAGAGAAAGATTTGAAATACTTTCAAATGCTCAAAGATAAACTTCAGAAGAGACCTACACTGAACAAAATGTTCGTTTCGACGTCACAATGAAATGATGATAGTTTGCGGGCGTCTTACAATATCTCGTTACTTATATCAAAATCCGGAAATCCGCATACTATCGAAGAGAAGTTAATTTTGCCAGCCGTTGAAGAGGTTTTAAAAACTGTTTTACACAAACCTGCATCTGATATCATTAAAAGAATTCCCTTAAGCAACAATACTGTTGAAAGACGTATTGATGAAATGAGTTCTGATATTGAAAGCTTCTTATGTAATTATTGTCAACTTTACCTGATAATGCAGCATTATTGGCATATGTTCGTTTTATCATGAATCAAGAAATCTACGAAGAACTGCTCTTCGCAAGAACTTTGATAACCGACACTAAAGATGAATCAATATTTCATGTTTTGAAGGATTACTTCATTGAAAAAGCAATTCTTTTATCAAATATAATATCAGTAGCTACAGATAGAGCACCTGCCATGGTTGGAAGTTATCGTGGATTTATAAGCTATTTAAAACAAAATGTGTCAGGGGTGTTAGCAATACATTACGTCATCCATCGACAACATTTAGTTGCTAAAAATTTGAGTGTTCATGAATCACTTCATTTAGTCATCGATGCAGTAAACCGAATCCGAAGCAACAAGTTGAATACGCGGTTATTTGCGCAGTTTTTTGAAGAAAATGACGAACACTTTCATCAATTACTCCTTCACACTGATGTACGCCGGCTGTCGAAAGCCTTATGTTTGACAAGATTTTGCACTTTTTGAGACTATTTTAGAATTTCTGGATACTAAAGATAAAATGTTAAAAGAAAATTTAATGAAGAGGAAAACAGACATCGCCTATTTAACAGATTTGTTTACAAAATTTAATATGATTAATTTGCAATTATAAGGCGACAGTTTAAATTTGATTAAAACAAAGTCCATCTTATCAGCGTTTCTTGCCAGAGACTAATGAAGCAAAATAAATATTGGACGGGGCGAATTTTCTAAGTTCCTCAATTTGTCACAGACAAGCTGCCAGGAAGACGACATTTCAACTTACATTCAACATTTAAATGCCCTCTATTCAGATTTTGAATCTAGGTTTGAGGAAATTTTGACTATGGTAATACCACCATGGATAATTAATCCATATGGTGACATATAAGAAACTAATGTCATAATACAAGGGGAACTGACTGAACTAAGTACAAACGAAGAACTTAAGGTTCAGTTTAAAAACGGATATCAGCAATTCTGGCTGCAAAACAACATACCCGTTACTTATCCCGTATTATGGAATATAGCGAGGAGATTTTTAATTTCCTTTCCATCGTCATACCTAGTGGAAAGGGGGGTTCAGTGCTGTTACCAATCTCCTAGCGAAAAAAAGAAACAGACTGGACATCATTAGCCGAGGAGATTTAAGATTAACCCTTACAAAATTGACGCTAAATGTTGATAATTTATTATTAAAGCATCAGGTTCATCCTTCTCACTAAAAATATTGACACTACAGTTAGAAATTTACAGGAAATCAATATCAGGTAAGTAGGCGGTCTACCCAACACGGAAAAACGTGGCAAGGGGTCTACGACACAAAAAAAGTTTGGGGAACTCTGCTTTAGAATAAGGTGATAAGACCATTTTTACGTGAAATTAACAGTTTTTCATTTCAAATATGTTCCATATATGACAATATCGAACATCGCAGGATTCGTTGATAATAGCAGAAACAAAATTAGTTTAAAAGTGTTTTTTCTATATTTGAACCATTTGCCCATATACCAATATTTTAAAACTGATGTATTTTTTGTATAAATTCTACGCGAACGAAGTTGCGGGTAAAAGCTAGTAAACATAAAGTAGAAAACTCTTCTTTATCTCGTAAAATAGCTCTTCTTTATCTCGTAAAATAGAATGACGCTAAAGACCTTTCGCTAGTTTACTAATACCATAAAAATTCTGCGGCTAATACCTGTGTTTGCATGTCGACTTTGCGTTGAAGACTTGCACTTACAGTTTTATGTCTTCTTCATTATGCCTTTCGTATTGGCTTTCTGCGAACATTTACCCTCTAAACGATGACCTCATTAAAAGGGTATTCGGGCAGCGTATAGTCCAAAAACCGTCAACGGAAATAATGAAAAAATGGCAGTAATAATATTTTTTCTAACAAGTTGTAATCGTATCATAACCATTCAAAACAATACTTGTCGCTTTATTTTGAATCGCAATGTTATCCTATACCTTTGAACGAGCAATTCTTGTATATATATAAGCGAAATCTCGGAAACGGCTCCAACAATTTTCATAAAGTTTAGTGTCCAGGGAGTTTCGGGGGCAATAAATGTTTGTCCGTGATTTCAGGCAATGAAAAACTGCTACAATATAAGAAGGTAAATTTTGACACATTGTTAATAATCGTAATAGCTCAAGTGGATATCGAGCGGTCGTGAAATCGTAATGCCTTAGTTTGCGTTATGAATAAAATCCCGTCTTTGGTCCGACATTTTTTCCTTTTTTTTTCAAGTTCCCTTCTTTTGTGAGAAAATCTACTATTTAGAGCCCTTTTTTTAGAATTTTTTTAAAAATACGAAAATTATAATTAAACTAATTGCACTCATGATTTTTTATTCAAATAACCAGTTCAGTTTTTTCTATTATGTCAATAAGATCAATAAATATTATTCATGTAATTTGTATCTAAATTTAACTTAAAAAAACCAAGCAAAGCTCAGTCATCCGGGTACTTAAATTAATTGGAGTAATCATAGTAGATTAATGGTGTTACGAATTTAAGGTAATTTTGTTTATTGATTTATAACTTAATAGATAATAACAGAATTCAGTGATGCCTTATAACAGTGTCAGTTACCGTCTGCGTGGCAATGTCAAGAGGTTATTGCAATCAAGTCGGTCGCTTACCTCAAAATGTAGTCCAGAAATTTATCGTCCAAAGTCTAGACCCTAAAATAAAATATACTTTTAAAACAACGTTTATTTATTGCTAATATGATCTGAAAAGCACTAAGGGCGCAATTGCTGCAGGAGCATTATATTGAACTCCTCAAAGATCTGTACCACTATGTAACTACAAAAGTGGTAGCCCAGCAGGGACAAGTGAATCATTCGAAGTTGGCGTAGGGGTTCACCAGGGCTCAACCGTAAGCCCTCTTCTATTCAACCTAGTAATGGACTATATCACTGTGGACATTCAGAAACCAGCACCGTGGTCACTTCTATACGCTGATGATGTAGTACTTATAGCCGAATCGATGGCGGAAGTACAATCAGACCTGACAATATGGCAGAAGTCCTTGGAAAGAAGAGTCAATAGAGAGAAGACTGTATATATGCACTGTAACTTTTCTAATGCCAATGTGAATGTTATTGGATGTCCATCTATTGAAGGTAGTCCTCTTAAGAGAGTTGAAGAGTTTAAGTATCTCGGATCCATTGTAGCACCAAAGGCATGTATAGAAAGAGAAATACAAAATAGAACCCAAACATCTTGGTTAAAATGGAGATTGCTGTCTGGCATTCTATACGACTCCCGTATGCCTATTAAAATAAAGGGCAATGTATACAAAAGAGCAGTAAGACCAGCTCTGCTATATGGATCTGAGTGCTGGCCGATGAGAAAGACGGATGAACAGAAAATTCACGTCACTGAGATGAAAATGCTACGTTGGTCTGGAGGAGTTTCTAGAACAGATAAAATAAGAGACGATTACATTCGTGGTAGTTTTAAGGTTACTATGGTGCACGAAAAACTTAGAGAAAACCGTCTACGCTGATGTACGGACACGTGATGAGACGGGATGATGACCATATGACTAAAAGAGTTATGAACATAGAAGAGGGGAAAAAAGGCCGTGGACGACCACCAATAACCTGGCTGCTAACACTAAAAAACGACCTGAAATCTACTAACATATCAGAAAGGACAACCCACAATCGCACGATGTGGCGCAAGATTACTAGGAAGGCTGACCCCAATTAAAATGGGACAATAGCCAGGTAGAAGAAGAAGAAGAAGTTTATTTATTGCCAATAGTTCTAAGCCTCTCATTTATTTATCTATTTATATTATACATCGGTAAAAAAAAGTTTTTCACTTTACCTACAAACTAGTCACCCTACTCTGGTTTGTGTACAATTTTTTTTTTGGATGGGCTGAGTACAAACACATGAGTAGATAAACGGAACAGAGATAAAGCTTCTTAAGAACGTGCAAAATATTTACCTATTTTGGTAGGGTTGCCAAAATAGACGAAGAGAAATTATACAAAACATTTGTTAAATAGTTTTATTATTCAGTATGATACAATACTTTACAAATTACTCTAATAATTTTATTTTTATAATTTTTGTTTTTAACAATGAATTGTTTTTAATGGTGTGGTAAATTCCGAATCTAACATAAAATTTACTATAGATGTTGAGGAATTTCCTCATGAGGAGACTATCATGTCTGCAGCAGCAGTTTATAGTGAAGGTCATGTTTAGCAAACAAAATTAAATTTAAATACAATGTTTCGAGTCCATGCTACTAACCGTTAAAGAGTTCCCTCGTAAGGAGACAATGCCGGCTGCAGCAGCAGTTCATGATAAAAATCGTTTTAAACTATCAAAATTAAACTAACATATAAAATTTCGTGACCCTGCTACTACCCGTTGAAGAGTTCCCTAGTGAGGAGACAATCCTGGCATTAAGTTATATCTATCATATTATTGCATTGTCACTGAAGTTATGGTATACAAATTTCAACTGAATCAGACATCAGGAAGTGGTTCAAATCTTACTTGCAATATGTGAACTTAACACACATACTTACTACATACCAACCCACCCACAAACTTTTTTTCAGTTTAGTCGAAACTTATAATAACATTAAATAGGTAAAAAACACCGTGTAGTAAGTACCCTCTTTCTATTAAAAAAATATCACACAATAAAATAAAGGTACTTATTTAAAAAAGTAATAATAAATACGTACGTACTGCTTCGGATAGTTAAAGTATGATATATTTTTATTTTTTCTAATATTTTTCATACACACAGTACAATAAACAACCATTGTCAATAACACCACATTTTTACAAATATTCAAACTTGCGACTAACAAAACAAACAATGTGCGTCGCACTGACCCTGAGATTGTCCACTGGCTGTGCTAGCGTAACCGGTTTTTTTTCAGTATCGTCGCGCGTACGCGACAAACGGCCAGTGGTCACGCACTCATGCCCCGCAACCGATTCGCGCGTTTGTATGAAGCTTTATCTCTGTTCCGTTTATGTACTTATGTGGTACAAGTCACTTTTACGAATTTGTAAATGAGTAGATCATCAGTTACGTTTTCAAACACAGAACTTAAAAAAGGAAACGCCTTTTCAATGAAATACATAGTTTTTTTTTACATATATTTTGGTTACATTAAAAAAATTATATAACCATTTCACTAATTGAAAAAAGAAAACCCTTTCATGTGCACTCTCCGAAATGCATCTTATAGACTTCTGAGAGGCTATCAAAATTTGTTTCAACCTAATTAGGATTATATTTATGTTTATAGTCCATTTCCTAAGTCACTATTTACGGCACCGAGTTGATGGGATTAGGTGATGGTTTCTATTATGCCACCACTAGGTATGTGTCAATCGTGAATGATTCGATCATTTAAACCGGGTCGCATAAAATTATTTATGATTGCAATTACGTTTTCTAAACGTTGCGAATCAAACGATGTACAGGAACTACGACCAAGGAGTGTAGTAATGTCCGACGACCGACATTATCGAACGGTTCTCAGGGATCACAGAGTACTAGATAAAATATACAAAAAGAAAATATACAAAATTTGACATACACAAAGTTCAAAAACTTTATTAAACTAAGTTTGTATAAAAAGGGTTATTATAATATTAAGGAATTTAAGGATGATAATACACACCCCTGGGAAGGGTGATTGCTACCAAGCTATTTCTAATTTGTTTTGTGTTATTATTTTAACATACATGATTGTAAGCTATTATTTGAAGAAAAAAAATAGGTACTCTGGGTTTCTTGCTGGTTCGTCCCAGGACAGAGGTTTTTTTTTGCGGGGGTAAATGATTAAAGTCACTGCTCCAATAAATGTTGTTTACAATCAATATTGCATATTGGGGCAGATTTGACTTTAAATTTAAATTATTTCAGACTCTCTAGCTTACGACAAAAAATATTTTGTAATTTATGCAAAAAATAATTAATATTAAATTACAAGAAAAATTAAGGTTACGTATGGTAGAATCCAATGGCATTAAAAACAAAAAATCTCATGTTTCCATATACGCCCCTATGGTTTGAGACCCGCGATATGTATTAAACATAATTTATTTTGTAATATGCTCGTATATTTTGTGCCAAATATAATTCAGGCGATAAGTGCTCAACTCGAGCTAGCCAAGTTTGATCCCGGTTAGCGACACTTATTGTAGGTGATTGGTGATATAAGGAAACTGTGTGAGAATCTTTTCGAATCGAAAGACACACAATTCTGAGAAATTCGAAAACATTTCGAGAACATATGAAGTCTGCTATGATGCATCAGGTCAGGACGGTAGATACATTTTTACCTTAAACCCTCTAAATGATGACAGGCCTGTGCCCAACATTGAAACATATATTAGCTATTGCTTTTACTTTTCAATTATACAGTGTTATTTTGCAATAACCAGCCAAATTCGCAGAGATGGGTCAGAATAAGTAATATAGGCGAATAGTGAAGAAAAATTAATTTAAAAGTCTCAAAAGTTCTGTCCTGTTTATCTTTTAAATTCAAAATACGTGGTAATGCATTATTTTAACTGATTTTACTGCTCGATCAGTAGCCAAAATCACATTCAATTTGGGATAATTTCAAATAAAGTAAAAGCCTTATTTACTCGTTTTTTCAAAAACCACAATTACGGTCATCAATCATTATTTATATATTTGAACTAAAGTTTAAAATTTGATCAGTCTTTGAAAAATAACCCTGTATCGATCATAGGCCTCACATCGTCGTTCAATTAAGACGGTGTGAGCCCTACCTTCTTACCTTAACTATCTACAAATCGTAATTATAAATACGTCAGTGTGCGCTCACCAACCTAGACTGAAAAAGGCTGGTACACAGCCTACCTACACCGTGCTGCTGGAAAAAGCCTTTCAATCCTAAGAAGTTTTTAGTGCTAGGAAAAGTCCGGTCCACGGCCCCAATGCGTTTTGGCAACTGCACTTGTCCTCAGTTTTTTTTTCATAGACATGCCGGTTCCCAAACGTTTGCCTTCACCGGCAAGCACATTTTCTCCAATAGTACTTAAAATTGCAATTTTGCAGGTAACAATTTCATTAGGGAGAGATCGAGCTCGGTTTCCTCGCGTATAATGAATTTAAAGAAAATTTTGAGGCAAAAACTTATCTCTTGAGGTAACATTTTTTTTCGGCTTCATATACTGTGTAGATACGTGTAAAATTGTTATCAATTTTTTATTATTAAAACGCTATTCTAACTGAAGGAATAACTGATGTTTCATGGAGGCGTTTTACAGACATTAATTGATCATTAAAATAATTTTATCGATTGATCCGGGTGGCTCAGGACCGTGCTTTGTAGCATTCCTTGATGGAGGCCTATGTTCAATAGTGGACTTTTTAAGGGATGTAATGGTGATGATGACGATGATGATGAACAATCAACTCCCAGATCCGTAAAATGTAGTTATAGGTATACTGTAACATACCTATAAGTAAATTTTAAAGAGCGACCAGCGTCGCAGCCTAACATTACGCTATCGAGCCGTAACCGTATTTTTTTACATATTTAAAGTTTTTTGGATAGTTACCTACATAAGTAAGTCACTTTTACAATACATCTGAAGTTATTATATGTGGTAGAGCCATGCTGCAGTTATATTAGATGTATAGTTGTAGCACGAATGGGTCGGCTCGACCGGGGAAGGACCACGCTCTCATAGAATACCAGCGTGAAATAGTAGCTTAATGCTGCTGTGTTTCGTATGGTGAGTGTAGAGAACCGGAGACCCTTTTTTATTGGAAACGAGGCATTCCATCTTAGTCCTCACGGGTGACAACGCATCTGCATTTTAATTCGTAATTGAGGATAGATGTAGATGTCTATGGGCCACAGCAACCACTTACCATCAGGTGGACTGTGTGCTCGTTTGTCACCCTATCCTATAAAAAAAAAAAAGTTACGCAAACGACACATTTCGAATATCGTCGTATAGTCTAGCCGACTCATTCGTGCTACAAGTAAATAGCTGCAGCGTGGCCCTACGTTTAAAAATTCTGTGAGATCGTGGTCCTTGTTATATAGCTATTATTATACTGCTTATTATATAACTGTAGAATGGCTCTATCATGTTTGTATTTGGAAAAAAGTAGACACTTTTATATTTGGAAAAAAAGTGGGTATAATTACTGTGACTGCGCCTTTGTTATGTTTTATTTTAGAATTACTTTTAGGACAAACAGAAATCAGAACTCGTGACAATTCAAATTATAGTACCCCAATGAATTATTAATCCAGGTCGCTGGGTGAGATAGTACATTAAATCCCCTGGGTCTTGATTTGTTTAGTTAACCAATAAAATTTAAAAAATACAGACTTTGATAAAAAAAACATGCAAATAGTATTTTGAAACATGTGCTAATATTATCTTTATGTGACAATGAAAATTTACATCATGTTATAAAAAACGATCTACTTAAATAAATAACATAATAACCATAATACTAAATAAATCTTTC